AAATGAAAGCTGGGAATTGGCTTGAGGTCACTGAGCTGAAGGTGAACTGCACTCCTCCGGATTCAACGGACGCTTGTCCTTCTTCTCCGTACCATGAAACAGGACCCTTTACAAACGACACCAACGTGTACAGTTAGTTTACTTGCCTCCAAACAAACTGGACGATTAAACATGACGTCAAAGCCATAGTAGATGTCCGTATCGTCCTTCACTGAAGTGTACCTTCCCGATACTTTTTCAAGACAAGAGTTGTGGTCTGTATCTTTGACTTCAGTAGAAACAGTATACTCGCCATCTTCTGAGCCAAACTGTTTCTGTTACAACGAATTTGGGGCCAGCGGTCCGTTCACGTGGTGGGGTTCAGCCCCCTCCCGTCAACATATATATTGTAGTGTTCGTGGGTGAAGCTTCTTTATGTTACGTAGTTTGGTGTTGTTTGTCCTTAAGCTGCGTCTCGCGTTCTTTCATGATCCAAACGGTGAGTTGTGTTTATGTTTTCATTTCGCCGCGTTTATATCGTTTATTATTTTGTTTATGTCATTCATTTTCGGTGGTTGGATTTAGTGTAATTTAATTTTGTTATAGAAACCATTGGTCGAGAAATAAACGTATATGGTTCGGATAGCCATTGAGTGATGTTACCAGTGCGTACGTTACAGTTTCACTCCAAAAAGCTTTATAGGTTTGTTGATGGTAAAATTTACACTGTAAGCTCCACTGTGGTACCAGCCACTTCCGGCCGGAACATTGAATTTTGGAAATCGGTTACATCGGAAATGGATCCTGGCGGTTTCCTTAAATGGCAAAGGCGACTTTAAGGCGCCTTTAAAATGATTCATCATGTCGCGTACCTCATCGATGGTAAGAATATTAGAATCAAGCGCGACTGACTCAAACTCCTTTTGTGACATCAATGGAAACCGTATTGCTTGAATAATCTCACCAAGAACTCTTCTTTTGCTCTCTCCATCAATAGTTATTCCCTGTCGTTCACATTCTTTCGTGGCTCAGCGATCAACAGCTTTGAATAGTTCCACTTCCGTCACATTCAACACTTCTTTCTTAACAACAGATTCAACTACAGATTGATCAACTGTAACTAATTCATCTACTTTTACAGCTTTTTCTGTCTGCTTCTCAATCACTTCCCAGCATCCATCTTCCAAATTTTGATCTTCAAATTTATGAGCGAGCGTCAGAATGCTGAATGCGTTTGATGCTTTCAAATTGTCTCGAAGATATTCTGCGCATTTTTCGGCGAGTGAAGGCACCATGTATTTTGTTAGCTAAGTACAGTACTTGCATCACATTATTTCCGTTCAAATTTACTTTGTCGCTATACAAGAAACGAAACAACTCTAACAGACTCTCGTACTCGCAGTCAGTCAGTTCAATAGAGTCTTTTGTCTCCGCCATTCGACCATAGAACATGGCAAAGAACACAGGACTACTGATTGCGAGCACAAACTTGTGAGCTGGGATCACCTTTGTACGTAATTCAATTTCACTAGACGAAAATGAGAGAACAAATTTTACATCGCTCAGTAACTCATTGTTGAAAATAAACGCGGTTCGATCAACAATACTTGAAAGTTTCGTCTGCCAGCTTTCTTCCGCAGTCATTGCCATTCTTTCGACGCTCTATTACATGTAAACAAGTTGGAGCAACGATTGGATGACAGATACGTGGTCCTTGTCGAAGAAACGCATTTCGATTAGTGAGAAATGACAGGTCGTGTTATTTTGACGCAAACCGCCGGGTTGTATTGTTGATCTAACGCAAACACAGTCCTAGACACTCCCCCTCCCCCCCCTCCCTTGCATACTTCTCGCCGGCTCGCGTTGGGTGAAGAAAAGTTTGTGCCGAAGCGCTAGTGATAAAGGCCTGCTTGTGCTACTTGCAAGCCATCATATACTTGATATCGCAAACGGCTATCATCACCACGAGTCCGCAATTGTTCTCCCTAAGACAAAAGAAACTTTAAAAGCTAATGAAGCACTTGTTAAACAAATGGTTCTTAACTAAGTAATCCTTAAAGAGTCCTTTGGTCTTGTCAAGTATTATTTGATCAAAAAAGCAGCTGTGCGCGTCAGGATAAAACAACGAAAAAGTAAATTTGCTACTGTTTATTTTTTTCTTGACAAAGTGGTTTCTCCGCGCCGACAAGCTGTTAAGTGTCATATCCCGACGCGCCCATGCGTTACACCCGATCACCAAAAAAGACGAATTTGCAAGCGAGTTTGTGACCTAAATAATCTGTGAAAAGGAAGAGGACGAGAGTTTTGAAGAACACTTTTAAGATTGGCATAGATAAAATAATGGAGATAAGATACCTGATTTGAGGACAGTATACCAGTTGATTTTGTAGTTAACAATTTAGGTATTCCTACTACGACCATTTCCTTCAGCGACTTTCCTTGTGATGCCTAAGGCAACACTTACTTCAGAAGACTAATTTTGCATAACGAGATATCTTTGTTTGTCTTGTCTCCTGACTAATCCAACACTGTAAGGCTTTGACGCATTAGACAAGTAACTTAAAAAACATCAGTTACCAGAAGTATCTTTTGCACCTTTAAATGATTCAGAAATTCCGGAGACAATGCTGAGTTGCTTTTCTGGCCATAAACGCGAAAGAATTTTGCCCGCAACCACAAAGAAAACAAGTCATTTTATCTACACATAGTAAAAAATGATCTAGAAATAATAATAATCCATTTAAACATTTATGTTAGCGAGAGGACGTTCCAACATAAATGTGTATCATACCATGAGGTAAAATGCAGTGTTTTTTTCTACGAGAGTTGGAAGCTTCGTTTTCCAGCTTCCTTCAATAGACATTGCGATGGTCTGCTCTCAGTACTCTTTGCAGGTCTTCGAAGAAAACAAGTTTTTCTCTTGATCTGAGAAAGAGGAAGAGAAAGAGAAAGAGAAAACTGCCCAGTAATGTTTCACGTGACAATGCAATTCATGTTCTTCTACAAGTAACCGCCCCAAATATCTGACAATTTATATTCTGAAAACTTATTTTTTGTATTTCATTTCCTCTTTTGCCTCTTTCAGTTCATAGCTCTGACAACTTCAAAAGGTAAGCAGTATTTCTGGGGCTATATTTTTAATTTGACCGTTTACATTTACAAGCAAGAGAAAACATACAAAATATTTATTTGAATAAAACAACATTTAGCCACCAGAAACTTCTTCTGCACTGATCAAACTTATTATTCTCTATATACACAACTGGGTTCTCTAACTGACTCTTGAGGATCCCATGTAACAAGTGTTCTGGGTAAGCTTTGATTGAGTCCACTTAGCTATTTCACTTGTAGTATTTATCAGTCATGATCAGTGTTTGTCAAAAAGTTCACAGGCGTACACTTGGTCATCCAAGAAGATTGATCCAATACTACCTGACCTATTAGACCTTCACTGGGCTCTACATTAATAGGAACGGTTCGGGTAACCTTGGAATCTCTACTTGAAAACTGAAAAAAAGATTCCGGGAAATTGTCCTCTTACTTCGTTAGTCCCATTATAAGTAATGTTAATTTTCCGAAACGTAAATCGCACTCCCTGGCACTCCACTAATGTTCGCCCATCTTCACCGTACCACGATTTAGGGCCCTCGATGAGCGACTTTAGCTTGTATTCTTTATTTGCTTTCAAATTAACAGGACGATCGAACATTACATCAAAGCCGTAATAACCATGGGTATCGCTTTTTTCTGAAGCATAAATTCCTGCTCGACTCACAAGCGAAGTGTTGTCTATGGGATCAATAATGTCTGTTGTAACTGTATACTTCCTGCCTTCGGAGCCAAAATGCTGAACTCCGTAAACCTTAACAGGCTTCTCGACAGTAAGAATGATACAATCAGCATTCCCAGTGTAATTCCAGTAACTCGCTGGCGCACAAAACGTTTGAAATCTGCAGCACTGGTACGTAGTGGAATCAATTCTACAGGCTTGTAAGAATGGTAAAGGAGTAGCTAAAACACCATTGTAGTGTTTTATCATATCGCCGACCTCTTCAAAATTTAGGATTCGAGAATCGAATACGACAGATGCAAAATCCTTCTGTGGTATCAAAGGAAAACGTATTCCTTTCACAATATCTTCTCCAAGAAGTCGTCTCTTTGTCCCTCCATAGGAAGTAACCCCTTGTCTTTCGCATTCTTTTGTGGCCCAGCGATCAACAGCTTTAAACAGTTCCACTTCCTCTACATTCAACACTTCTTTTTTCACAACAGATTCTACAACAGATCGCTCAGCGGAAAGAAATTCGTCTGACGTCATCGCTTCTTGGGTCTGCTTCTCAATTACTTTCCAACATCGATCTTCCAAATCTTTATCTTCAAATTTCTGAGCGTACGGCAAAATACAAAACACGTTCGAGGCCTTCAGGTTGCCACGAAGATACCCTGTGCATTTCTCGGTTAGCGAAGGCAGCATGTATTTGTTCGCTAAGTACAACACTTGCATTACATTACTTCCGCTTAAATTCACTTTGTCGCTGTACAAGAAACGAAACAGCTCCAACAGACTCTCGTACTCACAGTCGGGCAGTTCAATAGAGTCTTTAGTTTCCGCCATTTGACCATAGAACATGGCGAAGAACACAGGACTACTGATTGCGAGAACAAACTTGTGAGCTGGAATCACCTTCTTACTTTCGCTTTCACCAGTCGACACTGGAACGACAAACTTCACATCACTCAGTAACTCGTTGTTAAAAATGAACGCAGTTCTTTCGATGACAGTGGGAAGTTTCGTTTGCCAATCATCTTCAGCAGCCATTCTTACGTTTGTTCTCAGTTCTCTTCACAAATTAAACCCTTTTGAATTCTATGGACTTTTCCTGTGTAGGGAAACAGTTCTTGTCACACAAGTTACGAAAGAATAAATTCCTCATTTCCAGGCTCTCCAAATCTTTGACCACGAAGTTATGATAAACAAACGGTTTCATTCTGATATATTCCGAAGGTCTCAATAACATTGTTGTTAGATGAATCTGACTATTTAGTCGAAATGAAAAATATAACAGAATTTCTGACGTATTACGTTTTTATCATCTTTTTGCATCCATCATCAGTCCTGAATGCTGAATGTGAAACTGGATTGAGGAGAGGGTCTCGAACGGGAGAAGGGTACAAACAACCTTTTCCAAATCAAATGTTAACATTTTTGTGCCTAAAAGAATGTTTGAGTTACTCCTTGCCTTTCACATTCTTTTGTGGCCCAGTGATCAGCAGCTTTGAACAGGTCCACTTCCTTTACCGTTAACTTTCTCCTTTTGACAACAGATTTAACCAGAGATCGCTTAACTGTAACAAATACGTCTGACTTCACAGCCTCTTTTGTATGCATCTCAATCAAGTTCCAGCATCGATTTGCTAAGTGTTTATCTTTAAATTTCCGAGCGTATGGAAGGATGCCAAAGACGTTGGATGCTCTCAGGTTGTCTCGCAGATATTCTGCACATTTCTGAGCGAGCGAGGGTACTATGAATTTTTTCGCTAAGCACAACACTTGCTTAGCGAATAAACTACCTCCGTAATTACTTATTACACATTATTTGTTACTTACTTATTACACATTACTTCCTTACTCACAGTCAGGCAGGTCAATAGAGTCTTAAGTCTCTGCCGTTTGACCATAGAACATGGCAAAGAACACAGGACTACTGATTGCGAGCACAAACTTGTGAGCCGGGATCACCTTCTTTCTTTCACCTTCGCCATTCGATACTGGAACAACAAATTTTACATCGCTCAATAATTCAGTGTTGAACATAAATGCAGTTCTCTCAACTACAGTTGGGAGTTTCGTCTGCCAGTTATCTTCATCAGCTATTGCTATGTTCTACTTCTACTTCTATGTTCAGTTCTCTTCACAGATCGTATTCGATACTTGGACAAGTAAGCCCTCGCGTCGTGACACTTTTTCTCCTCTTGTCACGCAGAAGAAAGATTCCTCGTTTCCAGGCTCTTCAGATGTTTGCTCGTGTAGTTATGTATGTTCTTATGCATTCAATCGGTTGCTTCCTTTTTAATATGATAAATTCTGAAGATTGAAAACTTTATGACTCTGGCAAATTCAATCGAAAAAGCATAACGTAAAAGGTATTAAAAGGTATTAAAAGGTATTATTAAAAGTATAATGCAAAAAGGTATTACTTTATGACTGACAAATTTAATTGAATAAATATGACTTTCTTCGTGACCCCTTGTTTATTATTCTCAGTTCAACAACCTGAATGTGACAACTAAATGAAGGGGGTAAGTTTCTCACCAAACTGTGGTGCTTCGACGGTGGAGGGTATAACAAGATGACTTTGTTTTATCAACTGAGTTGATAATGTAAACTGGCCCGGCTGTCACAAAGAGTTTCTAAAACTGACGCTTGGAGCATTATCCCTTCGTCATTCGCTCCGACGAAAGGCTTATGTCTTATGCAAACAACATAGTGAAGAAGGCCAGTAATCAAACTGTTCTAGAGCAAAACAAAATTTTGTCAATGGACTGGCCCAATCAATATTTCATCAAAAAATGACTGTATACAAGTCTAGGCGATCTCGATTCAATGAAGAGGGATTTCCGGCAAATGACCTTTTGTTAGCTAAGAGAATGGTTTGTTTGTAGGTCTGCGCTGTGATTGGATGATCTTAATCTCCTCTTACCGTGTAACTTAAAGTTAGTTCAATTCTTTTGAGTTGTCCTAGTCGATCTTTCGAGCCACAAGAGAACTTAACTCATTAACTCCCACTAGTGACCAAGACAGAATTCCTTCTTACAATATATATGGAAATAAGTATCAAGCAGACAAGTGATGAGAATAAAGAAAACTAGTATACACTGCACAAAGTGAAAAGTGCTTTTTGCGCGCGCTGATTGGTTACTGAGTTTGGAAGTGA